CCACCCGGCGGCGGGGGCCCCTTCCCTAACCGAAGCCTTTCCCCGTCCGCAGCCGGAGAGGGAGGGGACGTTCCACCGCGGCTCGGGGCTGAACCTGACCAGTGGGCAGTACACGGCCCCGGTGGCGGGGTATTACGCCTTCACCGCCACGCTGCACATCGGTGAGCCCTTGGGCACCCCCACGGCCCCGCGGGGAGGTCCAGGACAGTTCTCACCCTCCCCTCTGTCCCAGTGCGCAGGGAGCAGCAGAGGAAGAGGCAGCCGTGCAGGGGAAATCGTCTGCGGGTGCTGATTTGCGTGCAGTCCCACTGCCAGCACAACAGGTAGGGCAGGGGAAAGCCAGGAGGGGAGAGGGACCCTGGGCAGGGGAGGGCAGAGGGGTCCAGCGTCCCCAGGGGAAGGAAGGACATGCTCACCCCAGCACCACCCTCCCTCTTCTGCAGCAATTTGGAGACTGTGTCCCGGCTGGAGAGCGCTGGTGACCTTTTCACCATCTCTGTCGCCGGAGTCCTCTACCTGCAGGTTAGTGGTGCCAGCTCTGCTCGGGACTGTGCTGGGCAGGAACAGCTCCAGGGCTGGGCATCGGGTCTGTTACTCAGCCCATCTCTGAGCCCAGAGGATGGACACTCCGGGCTGAGTCTCCTGGGTTACGGCAGCACACACCACGGCTGGGCTGCCCCAGTGCCTGCTGTCTCCCCCTTTTCCCAGAAGCAAGGGAGGGGTGAACAGCCCCTTGGGCTCTCAGCGTCTGCACATGGGGGGAGAGCTCTCTCCTTCACCCGGGGCCAGGGGAGGCGTCTCAGTCCCGTTAAGCCCCCTCTCTCTCCAGGCTGGGCAATATGCCTCTGTCTTCGTGGACAACGCTGCAGGCTCTCCCCTCACCGTTCAAAGTGGCTCCGATTTCAGCGCCGTTCTGCTGGGGGTGTGAAAAGGCACTAGGCAACACACAGGGAGCTGAACCTGCGGCCAGACCCTTACCCCTGCCAGCCACCATCGCCCCTCCCCTGCTCAGCACGGAGCCCAGGGATGAACTTTTGCTGCTGCAGGAGCTGCAGGCTGGTCCGGTACTGCTCATGCTGCAGAACCATCTTAAGCTGGACAAAAGATCGGGGAGGAAAGGACAACGACAACAACAACAATAAAGCAGCCTGACATGGAGCTAAAGGAGCTCACTTTTATCTGGAGGCTGGGGCTGGAAGTTTATCTCGGCAAATGCTGCTGTGGATGGTGGCAGCCAGCTCCTGCCTCCGCGGGGGCTCAGCTGGTGCCTGGGACGAAGCCCCACACCTCCCTTTTTTTTCTCTGCAGATTTCCCTGCCCAGCTCCTCGGCAGCCCAAACCAGATTATGTTTGTATCGCTTTAGCTTCCCTGCAGTGTATTAGCAGTGAATGTTGCTGGCAGGCACCAATGTCCTTCGCAGCTAATCTTCCAAGCAGAGCAATGTCCCGATAATGCTGCACACTTGATTAAAGCAGATTCCTGTCCCGTGCCTTCCCACACCAGGCGTTCCCTGCCCGTGGCACAGGGCCCAGGCTGTGGGCAGCGCAGATACGCCCCTTGCTTCGGCTCCGATAGTCGTCTGAGCCAAGGATGGGCGCAGAGCTACGTGCTGGGATGAGGGCTGCAGGAGAGGTACCCGGGCAGGGTGGGCGTGGGACAAGGGAGCTGCACGTTTTATTTCTTGGTAGCACGTAGCAGCGGGCGAACTGTGCCAGCACTGCCGTGAGATAGCCCGAACTGCGCCCAGCCCCTCCTCCCCCAGGGACACGCACACGTCGGTGGGGGAGGCAGCTTCCTCATGCCGGACCCCACGCCTGGGGCTCCTCTGGCCCTGCCCTGCAGCTTACGTCTCCTGAAGGAGCCTGGCGAAGCTCCATTGCCTCAGCCCTCCATGAGCAGGGGGGGTGTTGTGGATGGGGGTGGGGGGCTCTGGCTGTGCAGTCCGAACACTGACTTTTTCCCCAACAGAGCCTGGCTGTGAAGGGGAAGACGTGCTTTTTCCTGGCCGAGCGGGTGGGCAGCAGTGTCCTGGCAGAGTCAAGGCCTCTGCAGCTCTGCCCAGCCAAGGAGCTTGGCCCAGGCGGCACCTCCCAGCCACTGTGCATGACTGCGAGCTGAGGCCACCATCCCTTCCGCCCCGAGCCACCGGAGGAGGTACAGAGGGACTTGCTGTGGGAGAGCAGGGCTTGCAGAGCCGGTACGCTGCCCGCTGCCCACAAGGTATGAAGAGCCCAGTAACACAAGATCGAAAGAGTTGCAAGTCTGAGCTGCTGGTGGCTTGTTTAGGTGCTGGGAGGGGGCCTGAAGCCCAGCCCACCTGGCAGGACGGGAGCTGCAGGTACCCATTTCCCATGGGGTGCCAGAACTCCTCACAGTAGCAGGGTGCTGCTGAGCAATGAGGCAGGGAGTTTATTTTCCCGAAACTGCTTGCAGACCCCACCCTACCAGGAAATACAAGCAAACAGTTTTTTTGACTTCCCCTGAAGCTGGGGTTGAACCTCCCTTCCCAACCGGCATGCAAGCACGGTGGAAATGGCTCCCCAGCGCTTGCTTTTCCCCGTGCCCTGAAAAAGGGACAATTTCCATAAGATGGATCTTGTTATCCACTGCACCACAACAGCGCGTATTATGTTCCTAGCTGGAGGTTCAGTCCTCTCAATGCTCCTTCCAAAGGGGAGGAAAGAAGAGGCGCAAGGGGAGGGAGGGGGAGAAGGCAGGCAGAGAAGGTCAAGCTGATACTTCTCGCTCCAGCTCCTGCACTGGAATTAAGAGGGGCCTCCTGGAGGGAGCGGTGGAGAGACGGGCGCTCGGCTTAGCTCTCGCAGTACAGCATGCAGCTCTCCCCAGCACAGGGGCGGTGAAAAGCAGGGAGGGGAGAAGTCTCCCTTCTCACACTTTGCCCTTCCGAGATCTGCCGTCAGGGTTTCTTGTGCCATACACTGAATAAACTCTGCGCTGCTCTGTCTTGGCTCTCCAGACCCGGCTTCCAGGAGCACATGCAGCAGAGCATGTTGCTAACACAGGCGATTCCCTCTCCGCTCATCCCACAACACTACCTCACAGAGCCCGCAGGGATGGCTGGGTGCAGGGCGAGCTGGCAGAGGCAAGGGCTACCCAAACTACGTGCCGGAGGCTCGCTTACTTCCTCGGTGCTCTGCAGGAGCTGTGGAGAGCTCAGCCGAGCTCGCCTGACCGTTCACGTAAGCCCAGGAACTTTGGCTCCTGTAGCAGAAATAGATCAAAGACAGCCGAGCCACCCATCCCAAACAGCAGGATGGCTTTTGCATTTCAAGAAAGCCCAGGATCTGGGACACGCACACACACACCCCCCCAGAGCTCCAGGGAACACACGGAACAGCAGAGAGCCCTGTGCAGGACGGTGCACAGTGTGGCAGGCAGGACCACAGGACCTGCCCAGCCTCCCTTGGGGACTGTGCCTCTCGTGCAGAGCAAGGAGGCAGCACAGGAAACTGCTGCAGACCCACTGGAGGGGAGAGTTGGGAAATCTGGAGTTCAAGTGCTTTGGTAGCCTAATCCGTTTAACTTTCACTGTCATTTGGTCTTAGGCCAAGTTTTCTCTGGAAAACAGCACACTGACTCTGTGGCAACAGCTGGCAGAGGGATGGGGACAGGATGAGATAGCAGACACTGAATAGCAACAAGCACCTAAAACCCGAGATGCCTGCTCTTTGGGCAGCACACACAGCGCCTGCCCCTCTCTCCGCTGCCTGGCAGGCCACTTTGGTGAAAACACTTCCCCAATAAACGCCAGCAGCAACTCCACCACCCTCGCTGCATCAGCAACTGGAATAAAACCCCGACACTGTCTGCAAGCAGAGGGAAGGCCTGCTGCTGCTCTGCAAGTGCTGCATGCATCACCACAGCCTTGCGGCCTGGCCTCAGAACCAGAAGAGTTCCTCCCCAGCACAAAGAGGACAGCCCAAACCACACCCCAAGCCTGGGGTACCGCACTGCCCGTACAGCACAGCACAGCCCCACCGGGAGCTCCCACCGAGTCCCAGGAGGTCAGGGCTCTCCCAGGGCCTCACACGCAGCTCAGAGATGAACAGCAGAACTGCAGCGTTTGGACCAGGGGGCAGAGTCCATGCCCACCAACGCCCACCCTTGCCAGCACCTCTGCCAAATGGATTTATTTGGTTTGCCAAGGCCTTCACGGGGGATTGATAGGACAAGAGAGTTCTGCACAGGCTGACCCACTGTGGCAGCCGCTTAGAAAGCACCGCCAGCCAAGTCAGCTAAAACTATTAGAAAAAAACAAAACAACTTTATTTACACTGAAGAGCATCCAGCAGGACCCTCCCTCCCCCAGCCACACTTGCACACACACTGCCTCCTCCCTTCCCTCGCATCGCTGCAAGCTGGGGATCCTGCTGCTGCGCCCCATCTCTCAGTGCTCTATCCGGACCACCATGACGGTGACGTTGTCCGCTGACCCTCGCTGTACTGCCTTGTTGGCCAGTCTGCTACAGGCAGCTTCGTATCTAGCATCTGCCTCTAGCTTCCCTTCTCTCGTCTGGATGTTCTTGTCCTGTTGGGATGAGGAAAGACAACACTGATTGCTCCCAGCAAAGCAGGCAGGTGCAAGCACATGGTAATTTCCAAGCATGGGGAAGCAAAACAAACAAGGAGAGCCTCAGGTGGAAGGGCAGATGTGTAATTCTGCAAGTCAGAGTCATTCGTTTCATGCCCCCTGCACTGATAAACCCAGCCCCCACACTGCCTCCTCCTCACCTCCAGGCAGGACACAATGAAGTTCACAGCTTCCTCTGGTGTGAAGACTTTAAAGAGGCCATCACATGCTATTAGAATGAACCTGGAAACCAAGCAGAGATAGGTTCCAAGGCTGAATCTTTGGCTCCCCAGCTACAGAAAAATCCCTCCGAGCTATTTTATGAGCACCCACACTCCAATCCAAAGGGAAGGTGCCATAAAGCTCATCTGAAAATCCCTCAGAAGCACCAGAAGTCCCCCGGTGCTCCAGAACCAACCATTCACAGAGCTGAGGCATTTCAAAGTCCAGGCCAAAGAGCCAGGCAAGCAATGCCAGACCTTGATCAAGACATCCTGGCAGTCCTACCGACACCGCGCCATTAGGCAAGACCACATTCCCTGCTGGAAAGCTCCATTACTCCTCTAGGAACTGCTTTTTTCCTTTGAGTCCTTCTCACTTGTGTATTTTCCCTGTGAAGTAGCTAACACAAGGACATAGAGAAATACAGCCAGCTTAATACCTTACGTGCATCCCTTCAAATCCTTTACACTTCCACACTCCAGGGGTACGTGATCATTTAAATGGAAGTATTTGAAGAAAAGCAGGCAGCTTGACCCAGAAACAGAGACATAACCGTGATCAGAAAACTCTGCCACAAGGTACTGCCGCAGGCTGCAGAAGGCTGAGGGGACACAAAGCACGAGGCAAGGAGAGCTGCGTCCTAGCTCCCCACCTGGGGATGGGGGAGAGCCTGTCGTGCACGCCCTGCCCGCACAGGGACTGTATGAACCCAACCAGAGTCACCGGACAAGGAAAGCTGCAACTGTCACACAGAGGTGGCCAGCCTGCCAGAGCAGCACATGGCTCTGAAGACATCGTCTCAGAGCCTGATGCTCAGAATATCTTTAGAAATATTTTAGTGGATCACTTGAGATGGAACTCTAGCCCCAGAAAAAGCAGCAGTACTGGGTTACAGCCTCACCTCAGGGTGCCTGCAAGGCCATGAAAGCTCACAGCAATTTGTCGCTGCCAATCGTACGCTAGAAAAGCATTTAAAATCTTCAAATATCAGAGCTGAATGCAGTGGTATTTGTGGGCACCGTGGCTGCTAGAAACAACTCTTGGACAGGACAGGGAGCCAAGAATTCAAGCCTTAACCAACTGCTTGGACACTGGTGTGTAAACTTATTCATGACGGAAACCTAAGGCTTGTGCACGTCATCGCTGCTGTGGGGCCCCTTTCTCCAACAGGAGCCTGTCCCGGGATCTCAGCAGAGTGAGGCAGCAGCATTATCCTGCCATACAGATAAGGAACAGACGTCAGCAGTAAGAGATCCTCTGCTTCTGGGCAATCAGCCTGAAGCACCTCGGTGCTAGCAGCAGAGCCTACGGGGTCACACAGCTTGCGCTACTCCTGCTGGGCAGAGCTAGGATGCAGCCAGCCCCCCAGCGCATGGGCACGCTTTACCTGTCGTTGTGTGTCAGTTGGCAGCGTTTGATATCTGGCACAGAGATAACACCACAGCGCTTGTACTGGCCATCCCCGATGGAGCGGGAAACCTCCAGCACTCCTAAGACTCTTCCATCCCTGCCCAAAGAAAGAAAAGATTGAGAGCCCTCCCCACACAGACGCATCTCACTGTGCTGCCCGGTGGGGACACTCTTCACGGTGCATTCAGCTGCCTCGTACAAATCCCGAGCCACTGCCCCAGCCAGTTCAAATCTTCCCTTCAGAGTCCCCTTCCCTTGCTGAATGTTTGTGTGA